GTCAAAATCATCTCAATAGGAGACTCTGAAAAAGAATACCATATCACTTCTATGGTGTTCTTGCTAAAAAATGTGAAACTTGAATTTAATCATAAGGAAACATGACACAATCCCAGACTGAGACATATTCCAGAATCCCTGCTTCTTTAGAAAAATACATTTAGAAGAAATGTTTTTTTTGCCGGTATATAGAAAAATAAATCGATCTCATTCAGCCACTTGACAAATTCCCCTATTATTTCTAGTAATTTGTCTGTTTATTCTTTGGGGTATTCTGTGTTATCAAAAAATAATTAAGCTCTACTCAAGGTCCAGGATAGGAATATCCAAGTGGCTGAGGCCAGGTCATATGCCTGAACTGGTAAAGCAATTATCTGGCATTTTTAGTTTGTACAATGGGAGGGAGGCTTCCTCCCAGCCAGATTTATAAAATGGAGAATTCTCTAAATATAAAAACAGAACAGGAAAGACAAATTTTGCTGAAATCCAGAGTACACTGTAAGAAAACATTTTAATAATATGAATGATAATACAGTATAAGAAATACTATAAAATAGCATAAAATACATAACAAATAATGAGGCATACAGACAAAAGATCATTAAAATGCAAAGGTCATAATTTAAAGTAAAAGTGCTAAGTAAAAGTAAATGTGAGAATGATACAATCTTAAAATCTGAATATCACACTTGGATCATATCATGGATCCTTCAGAGCAACTGGAATTTATTCCTCTTAAGTCCTGCAATTCTAGAATAGAGTCAGTAAACTTTCAAACAGTACATTAACAGTCAACTCTCAAAACCTTGCATGTTCTATGAATGTCTCATCATCTATGCCCAATTGACCCCAGGGGAGAAATCACCAGAGAGGAGCAAAGAACAAAAATAGAGCCAGGAACTACTTTTTTGTGTCTCCTCTTCTCCCAGAGGGGCATTCTCATGGACCCTCTCCAAGAAAAAAAGAACATGAAGAATGGGAGGTCAAACAGGCATGAAAAGACTATGATATATTTTAACATCTATATGCATTCTTCTACAGCTCTTTTTCATTTTTAATTTTTTGCTCACACATTAAAGTGGACCAGAGGTAATTCACACCTTTGCAAAAATTAAAAATGTTTGCAAAAGATCAATTTACTTCTACCTATTTAATCTAAATAAATTTCATATGGGAGGCTGAGGACAGTTTCATAAAAGGGATGAGCAGGGACCTGAAGGATGATTAAGAAAGAAAGGAAGAGGCAACACTTCAGGCTAAGGAATAACACAAACAGAACTGAGAACAAGCTAGGTCTATGAGACATACTGAGAGTAAAAGAATTGGAACACAGACCTATTAATTCTGTGAGGTAAAAAAAAAAAAAAAACCTTGAATAAACACATGGGAAACCTGGAAGAGAAGCAGTTTGAGAAAACCAGATTAACTTATATGGATGGATTAGAAATTGCTCATAAAACATTCAACTAATGTTATCAAGTAGGCAGTTTGAAATGCGGGCTTAGGAAGATGCTAGAGATCTAGAGCCAGAAACCATGCAACATATAGATCGTGGTCACCTCCACAGAATATGTATTTGTTACTAGTGTTAATGTGCCTCAGGCTACTAAACACTTAGATTAATAACTACTAATCAAGGTAGAATCAAACATGGTGATTAATAATTTTCAATTGCCTAAAGGCAATTCAGTGAACTCTATAAATCCATCAATTCTTCAAGTCAACTTTGTGGCTCAGAACAGATTTTCTTCCAGATGTTGAAATCTACATCAACACATATACAAACACCGCAATTCAGGGGTCTTCAGAAAACTGCAGGCAGTCACACTGAACTATAAGCACGCAACACCTCTCCCTGTGTGTGATCTCACTACACCTGCCTGCAATACTGCTGAACTTACGAGGCTCACGTGGCAGTTAAATGGCAGAATTCAGGCCTTGAATGTGTGTCATCTACCCCATACCCAATGTTATTACATCTTAGTGATCAGGTGAAGGGGTATGGCAAGAGGGTCCTGAATTCTTACGTACACAAATCTGACCCTATAGACTGAAAACTATTTTTAAGTTATGGCATTGTGATTTGTAATAATATATATTTGGTCTTTGCCCCATTTCTGGCACAGAGCTCCCCAAACCCTGGCAATTTCACAAGTGATAAGCGCAGCAGATGTTCTTCTGTTACATTAATGAGGTGGTTTTTGGACACTTCCCCCCACCCTAATGAAGGATGGGGGCTGGCTGCCAGGAGAGCCAACCATGTGATCAGAGTGTTGGAACTTTCGGTCCTACCCCTCCAACCTCCAGAGAAGGTAGACGACCAGGAGGCTGAATCAATCACCAATGGCCAATGATTTAGTAAGTCATGACTATGTAATGAGGCCTCCAGAAAAACCCAAAAGGACAGGGTTGGGGAGGTTGCATGCTGGTGAATACATAAAGGTGCTGGGAGAATGGCGCCCTCGGTGAGCATGGAAGCTCCACACCCCTTCCTACTTACTCTGTGCTGCACACCCCTTCCATCCGGCTGTCATCTCTATCCTTTATCATATCCTTTCACAAATTAGTAAACATAAGTATTGCACAGAGTTCTGTTAGGCACTCTAACAAATTAGTCACACCCAAGGAGAGGGCTCTTTGGAACCTCCAACCTATAGCTGGTTGGTCAGAAACACAGGGCTTGCAACTGGCCTCTGAAGTATGCGTGCATGTGGGCATGGGAGCCAGTTCTATGCAAAGGAGCCCTTAATCTGTGAGATCTGACCTCAACTTCAGGTAGATCGCATCAGAATTCAGTTTAACTGTAGGACACCCAGCAGCTGTCACAGAGAATTCCTTGGTGTGGGGCAAAGTTCCATACAGTTGCTGACCAAAAGTGTCCAGGAAGTGTCTAGGTCAAAGAAGGGACAGGGATGCCTGGGTGACATGATCCTACCAGGGTCCCAGGATGGAGCCCTACATCAGGCTCCCTGCTCAGCGGGGTGCCTGCTTCTCCCTCTCCTCTCTGCTCATGCTCTCTCCCTCACTATCTGTGTCTCTCAATCTCTCTCAAATAAATAAATAAACCTTAAAAAAAAAAAAAGAAAAAGAAGTAGAGGCACACAGGGAACAAACACACAGGAGGAAAGTAGTGAGTTTTTCCCTACACAGGAAGAAAAAAAAGAGAAAAAAACCTGTGTCTTCCCTTTACCCAAGTACAAATTTCTTTTCTTTTATGGTGTTAAGGCTTTTTTTTCCTCATTAAAAATCAGTACATGCTCAAAATTCTAATCTTACAAAAGTGTATACAAGAGAAAGTGGCATAACCCCATAATCCCAACTCTCACAACATGCAATGTTTGTTCCACAAGACCATTATCTCTATTCATCTAATTAATGCATATGTAGGAGCTGTACAAATGTGTATATAAGCCTGAATATATTTACACACTTGAAAATGCTTCTAGTACCTCAATTTTTAAAAGCAGAATGTTAGGTCACTGAGTATTTAGTACTTTAAATTTTAATAGCTATCGCCAAATTGCTTTCCAAGGAGACTGTCCCAATTTCTACTAGTTGACAAAAATTTATATAAATAAAAATGGCCACAAGACATATAAACCAAGGAGACTATTCCAATTTCTACTGACATACAATATGCGATTGACAAATACACTCTATAAATACAAAGGGTCAAAAGACATACAAACCAATATTTAATCCCATTTGGTAAAGAAATCCAAATTAAAAGAAATATATTCTTTTTACCCATCAACTTGGCAAAAAAACCTGAAGACCAATATTATCGAGCAGTATTATCTAACAGAGCATGGGAACAGGTCTCTCTCAGACTGCTGGAAGAATAACCTGGCTCAACTTCTGGAGGGCATTTGACCATGTGTGAACATTTTAATGTATGTGGACTATGAACAGGCAATTACACATTTAGGAATGGATCCCACATCAGTAAGTATTCCAGTCCCCAACAATTTACTTATAGTAATGCACAGTGCAGTCTTTAAAAAAAAAGATCAAAAATTTGAAACAATCTAAATGGCTATCAATCAGAAACTAAGTCAATTATGTTAAAATCATACGATGGATTATTTTGCAATCACAAAAAACGATGCTATGATATTCTTCTTAGCATAGAAAAATGTCCATGATATGAACAAATATATATAATGATCCCATTTACATATAAATGTATACAAGCCATAGGAAGATTTTCTTAAAATATATTTCAGAACATCAATAGTAGTTATATCTACATGGAGGAGTAACCAGTAAATTTTCATTACACATTTCTGTAATTGTTTTAAATGGCATGCATGTGTTTACTTTTATATTAAAGAAATCATTAATAATATTTTTTTAAAGACATGAGAGACCAAGAAAAGTTGCGAATCAGTATGCTAGAACCAGAAAATGTCCTAATCCTTTCATATTCTGAAATTCTACATGATAATTAGGAAAATATTTACTCCAGGGGCTTTCCTTCATTATTTCCAAAAAGCATATTTAATATGCTTTCCCTAGATCTTGTGAGGAGAGTAAAATATAAGAAATGTTCCCCGTCCTTATATTTTGACTTTTAAAATAATAATAATGGCTGCATCTTGGGAATGCAGAGTAGGGGTAGAGAAAATAAGGAAATGATAAAACCCCAACCCAGGCAAAGCCTTTCTCGGGTTTCAAAACTCCCAAAGAAAATCAGTGCAAATCTCTAAATTCAGGTCTGAGAGCTAAATACGGGGACTCATTGCTCTTAAAGATTTATGTATATAATAATATCCTCCTCACAACAGATCACTATTCCTGGACTGTTACTATAGGAGACAAGTTAAGGAAAACATAACAAGTTAGACTTACGTTTAACTATCAGAAAAAAATGTATTATCTAACATTTATTCATTACATTTTTAAAAGCATGCTTATAAAAGCATATTAAAACATTCATTTGTGGTTTCAACTCTTATACATTACGTGTAGTAAAAAATAAAATAATGACAAATAATTACCTCTCCTATGAAGACGACTATAACACAGTCCAACTTCTCTTCAGGATACAGATTATCAATAAGGGAATGAAGGGTTTCTATGAGGTAAGATTTCACTTCTCTCTTCACTGTGGGAATTCCCATTACTATTGACACTGAAACAAAATAATGATAGTAATTACATAAAAAGATTTCACAAAGACGGTATAGACTAACACTAGTATTTCAAAAATGATTATACCCTCTCAAATTGATAGCAACAACTGAGAAAGCGAAATATACTACTCAATAATAATTGAGGAATCAAAATATACTATAAAATGTACAACTATACAAAGAAAAATAATAAAAGCCTATAAAAGCATAGCCTTAACAGTGTAATTCTTTTCCACAGGGCTTATCCAAAAAAAAGTCAAAGTACTGTTAAAAATGAAGACATTAAAAACAAGTGACCCTAAAGTATTAAATATATATTACACAAGTAAAAGACAGAAACACTGAACACATCTGAAAAATTAATGTCTCAAAAAAACCCCAATGTCTCAGATATCATGTATATAATGCAGTCAGAAGGACACAACATCCCTTCTGTGGTTTTCTTGATAAAAACACATAATCTCAATCTAACCATGAATATCAGACAAATCCAAATTAGGATCCAATTTAGGATCCCAAATTAGGGATAATCCACAAAATAATTGTCCAGGTGTTCTCTGAAGTGTCAAGATCAGGAAAGACAAAGAAAGAATAAAGAACTGTGAGAGATAGCAGAAGACGAAGGAAACATGACAAGTAAATGAAATACGGGATCCTGAGTCTGATCCTGGAACAAGAAAAGAATGAGAAAATGACAAAATCTGAAGAGGCTGTAAGGTTAGTTAATATGACAGCATCAATGTCAAGTTCCTGGTTTTGATCATTATATTATGGTTACACAAAATCTGAACATTTAGGGGAACCGGGTGAGGTATATGAAAACACTGTCTGTACTACCCGTGCAACTTTTTTAAGGCTAAAATTATAGCCAGCTCTGCTATAATGGTTGTTTTGCAACACAAATTTTTTCCTGAGAGATTAATGTATTGGGCAACTATCTAAGCATCATATGGATTTTGCATTTGCTTAGGTGCAATTTCTCCTCTGGGACAAGCATTCACTAGGTAAACACAGAAAATGGCAACCATTTGAAATGAGCTCAAAAAACTGAACCAAGCAATGTAGAAATACACAAACAGTATATATTTCTAACTTCTACCAGCTGCCTCAGTTTGCTGCACATGAAGAAACACACATGACTACATCTAGTGTTGACATTTCCACCAGATTGCAGGTAACCTGCCTTGTATCACACTTCTCAAAATCTTCCAAGCGGCAATCCTTTTGAAGCCCATTTTAACAGGCAAACCTCAAGCATTATTCAGTACCTTATTTATTGTAGTACTTAGTATTTCTTAATCATTTAGCATGTGTAAAACTGCTCTTTTTTTGTCTTTTTGTACACGTAACTGACAAAGTTTCTGACCACTGCGATACTGACTTTTCTCCTTTTATTGAACAATTCTATATAGTATGATAAATTTTAAGAATGCATATATTGTGTTATAATAGAACTGTAATCCACAGGAAGTTTTTTTAAATAACATCTTTTAAAAAGCCAGTAGAGAAATATTTTGCAAATATTAAAAACATTTAAGTCTTAGTAATGTAAAAATTTATCAGAAATGCTACAAAATACTTAGAATTCATGAAATTCTGAGGCTGGAAGATCAGAGCTCAATGAGTCTACTACCATGATTCTGCAAATAACAACACTAACATCCATAATTTGGCTATATGCAAAAGAAGGAAACTGGACCAGTTTGTTACACCATACACAAAAATAAACTCAAAACAGACTAAAAACCTAAATGTGAGACATGAAACCATAAAAATCCTAGACGAGAGCATTGGCAATAATCTAACATGGGCCATAGCAACATTTTTCTAGGTATGTCTTCTGAGGCAAGGAAAACAAAAGCAAAAATAAACTATCAGGACTCCACCAAAATAAAAAGCTTCTGCATAGCAAAGGAAACTATCCACAAAACTAAAAGACAGCCTGCTGAATGAGAGAAGGTATTTGCAAATGACATACCTGATAAAGGGTTAGTATCCAAAATAAATAAAGAATACAACTTAACAACAAAAAAATAATCTTTAAAAAATTTAAAAGTGGACAGAAAACTTGAACAGATATTTCTTCAAAGAGGACATACAGATGGCCAACAAGACACATGAAAAGATGCTTGACATGACTCATCATCAGAAAAAGGCAAATCAAAATCACAATGAGATAATACCTCACATCTGTCAGAATGGTTAAAATCAACAACACAAGAAAAGAGGTGTTGATGAGGATGTGGAGAAAAAAAGAAATCCTCATGCATTAGTGGCAGAAATGCAAACTGGAACAGCAACTGTAGAAAACAGTACGGAGTTTCCTCAATAATTAAAAACAGACTACCCTATGACCCAGTAACTATACTATTGGGTACTCACCCAAAGAATATGAAAGCACTAATCCAAAAAGATAAGAGCACCCCTATGTTTACCACAGCATTATTTACAATAGCCAATAACAGAAGCAGCCCAAGTGTCCATGGATGGATGAAAGGATAAAGATGTGGTGTATACACACACACACTGGAATATTATTCGGCCATAAAAAGAATGCAGTCTTGCCATTTGCAACAACATGGATGGAGCAATAGTGTATAATGTTAAGAGAAATAATTAAGTCAGACAAAGACAAATACTGTATGATTTCCACCTATAGTGGAATTTAGGAAACAAAACAAAGGGGGGAAAAAGACACAAACCAAAAAACCAGACTCTTAGCCACACAGAACAAAGAGATGGTTACTAGAGGGGTGAGTGGGAAGATAGATGAAATAGGTGATGGGTATTAAAGAATACACTTATGATGAGTGCTCAGGAATACATAAAATTACTGAATCATTATATTGTACAACTGAAATGAACACTATATATGAACTGTATTGGAATTAAAATTTAAAAAGCAGTAATCACCATCCCCCCAAAAAGAACACTAAGATCCAAATGGTTTAAAAGATAGCCCCAAAAGGTAGATGCCACACTCCTCTCTTCCATTTTGAGATGAAGAGCTTCCTGGGGCTTAAAAAGAGATCTGTCATATTTGGACTTCTGAGAAGATGGCAGAGCAGTAAGATCCTAAGCTCATGGACACACAGTACAACTAACTCTGGAAAAGACTCAAAGACTGGCACAAGAGACTTTACAGTCAATTGTAAAGAAAGCCACACTGAGAAGTACAGGAGGGGCAGAGGGGGCAGAAATGCATTTAGGAACCAAACCTCTGTGAGACTAACCTCACACAGGAGGGATACCAAAGCACCAAGGAGGGAGAGGAGTAGAATCCACACCAGGTACCACAGGCATGGAGAACTCACACTGGAAAGATGAGTCCCCATAACATCTGGCTTTGAAAAACAGTGGGGCTTAGCTTCCAAAGTTTTAAAATCAGCAGACCCTAACTCCAGGTATTTTTAAATCAGCTGGATCAGCTTCAGGAGAGGTGGAGGATAATAGAAAACTGAGTCCCCACCCTCAAAGAGCCAGCATAGCAAATACTTCTGCAGAGACACTGCAGGGCAGAAGCAGTTTGGAAAGTGCCTGGGGTAGCTCACATTTTGTGCTAGAGGTGCAGGAATCTTTAGGAGACTTCAAGAACAAAAGAGCTAGCAAGTGCCATTCTTTTACCCCAGTCCCCCCCAACCTTTATAGCCAGATACTTGTGGGAACCACCACAAACATTCTCTACACATATTGCTCACACCAAGTGTCCCACCTCTGCCTTCCCTTTCAGAGGTAACCATATCCAACCTGACCCACTCAGCAGGCATGCCTCCAAAGTCACATCTTCCCCAAACACCATGCAAGCAACCCCAGTAGGGAACAGTGCCACTCCAAAGTGACTCCTGTCCTGGGGAGAAGGGAATATAACCATACAAACCAGTGTAGCCACAGTCCCAGGAGCCAAACCTTATAACTGGCAGTGCAGACATAGTGTCCCCCAGCTCAGTGTGCCTGCAGTCCCAGAGCACACAGACTAAGGGCAGGCATCCAATCTGACTGCTGACCTATTACAAGCCCCCTAAAAGCACAGGGACCAAACCCTGACCAATGCACCCCAAATAGCTAAAAATGGGCCCTTGCAGCCAACTAGACTAAAGGTAAATGCAATCCAGTCACACAGTAGGACCCACATAGCCACACGGGAGACACCCCTGAAGTGCCTGGTTCCAGTGAACAGAGGACACTGTGCTACAACACACCACAAAACCTCTTCATAAGGCCACTACTTTCAAGATCAGGAGATGGAGCTGATTTCCCTAAGACAAAGAAACAAGCACAGAGTTAGACAAAATGAGGAGACAGAGTAATATGGCAAAAATGAAAGAACAGGACAAAAATCACAGCAAGAGAGCTAAATGAAATGGAGATATAAGCAATATGCTTGATAAGGGATTCAAAGTAATGGTCATAAAGATACTCACTGGCCTTGAGAAAAAAGTGGAGGATCTCAGTAAGACCTTCAACAAAGAGATAGAAAATATAAAAAAGAACCAGTCAGAGATGGAAAATTCAGTAACTGAAATTCAAAATACACTAGAACAAATTGACAGCAGAAGAGAAGAGGCAGAACAACTAAGTAGTGATGTGGAAGACAGAGTAATGGAAAGCAACCAAGCTGAACAGCAAAAAGTAAAAAGAATAATAAAAAATGAGAATAGGGTCAGGGAACTCAACAATATCATCAAGCACAGTAATGGTCACTTCTTAGGGATCTCAAAAGACAGAAAGTGACAGAAAATTTATTTGAAGAAATTATTGCTGAAAATTTCCCTGTTCCAGGGAGGGAACAGATATCCAGACCCAGGAAGCACGGTGAGCCCCCCACAAAATTTACCCAAGGAAGTTCACACCAACACACATAATAGTTAAAATGACAAAAACAAGTGATAAAGAGAAAATTTTAAAAACAGCAAGAGAAAAGAAAACAGTTATACACAAGGGAAACCACATAAGCCTAACAGTTGATTTTCAAACAGAAACTTTGCAGGCTAGAATGGAG